GGCAGGTGGCTGTGGATAAAACTGATATGTGAAGGGGTGACCTTTGTACTTGCAACAGTGTATGCCCCTAACGAGCCAAAGGAGAGATTGGAGCTCATGCGAGCTCTCCCATACTGCCTACCTAACGAAGAACATATGCTCATCAGCGGGGATTGGAACCTCATTAGCTGCCCCGGGTTGGACTCGGAGGCAGATGATGGGATGAAGAGAGACAGAGAAGCCTTCCTCAAATGGAAGGAAGCGTGGGGCCTGCAAGATGTCTTCCGAGTGATGCAGTCGTCCACCCCAGACTTCACTTGGTTCGCTAGTTCAGCAAATGCAGCAGGAGCAGAGCGGCGTCTCGACTTCTTCTTGACAACAGGTGTCTTCTCTGAAGGAGCCATAAGGGTGGCAGAAGAGAACGTTTCTCTCTCAGATCACAAACCAGTGATCCTTGAGATACAGCTATCATCCAGCGATAAGAGAGGGTCGGGCTACTTTAAATTGAATACACAGAACCTGGAGGACGAGGGCTGGCGGGAATGGGTGGAAAAATTTGGAAAGATTGGCAGGCGGCGAAATAATATTTTGACCAGTATTATGAGTGGTGGGATGCGGGCCTGAGTATTATTTCTACCAGATTCAGTGTGTACTCAAGAATTGCTGCTTATTGCAAAAACAGGAGGGATGCCGAGTGCAAACAAAGAGTGGAGGAAGCAGAGCTTCGGGTGGGGGAACACCCAATCTCAAACTGGGTATGGGCAAAAGAGAGAGTTAAAAGGTTGAATGAATGGGAGGAGTTGCAGGTCGAGAAACAAGTAAGGTGGCAAGAGATTTTGAAAGAGAAAGGGGTAGTCAATAATGATAGAATGACGCGAGAGAGCTTCAAAAGACTGCTACCAAGACGACAGTCGACCCAGATGAGAGAGTTGCAACACCCTCATCTTCTGGGAAAGCCTCCTGCGACCACAAACGAAGAGATCTGTGAGTATGCAGTGGATTACTTCGAAGATATCTTAACTACGTGCACGCTGGACTGGTCCTGGGAAACAGATTTGACGGAGGGCAGCAACTTCCGGGGCACAACGCAGGTGAAACTCAGAGCGGGTGACAGACTAGACTTGGACATACCAATTACGGAGGATGAGCTCAGACAAACGCTGAAAGAGATGGCGAAGGGAAAGGCACCGGGTGACGACGGGCTCCCGATAGAATTTTTTCAATCATGCTGGGAACACCTGGAACCGGACGTCGTCAGATTATATAACGACATTCTCACAAGGGGAAGATTGGGGGAGGCAATGACAAACGGAGTGATTTTACTACTGTACAAGAAGGGAGACCAGAGCGGCGTACGGAATTGGCGTCCGATCTCCCTCCTGAACGTTATCTACAAGATCTTGGCTAAGACCCTGGCCCGCAGACTGGGTAAAGTGCTCCCCAAACTGGTGGGCAAGGATCAAGGAGCGTTTGTACAGGGTCGATCGATATTTGAAAATATCTTGACAGCAGTGGAGTCCATGGAGATCATTGGGAACGAGAACGCAGACGTTGTAGCCCTGCTCATAGACCTAGAAAAGGCCTATGACAGGGTCAACTGGACCTTTGTAATGACGACCTTGCGAGTGATGGGGTTTGGCGACGCTTTCTGCAGATGGACCAAAGCCTTGTATGCCTTCTCTACAGCAGCAGTTCAAGTCAACGGTGTGACCTCCGAGGAATTCAAGCTGTCCCGCTCACTTCGCCAAGGGTGTCCCCTGGCGCTATTGTTGTTTGTGCGCCAACTAGAGGTGTTACTTTCTGCAATACGGGAGCATCCAGAAATTTAGGGATTACGCCTTTCGGAAGGAGGGCACTGTAGGGTCAAAGCCCTAGCCGATGACCTGTACGCACTCTCAGTCAACACTGTGGACTCTTTGGAGACACTGAAAAGTTGTCTACACCAGTATGCTGAATTATCAGAAGCGGCTATCACCTGGAAAAAATCGGCCTTTTTCTACCGGCTGACTACCAGTTACAAGTTCAGTGGGGTATGCAGAGGGTGGAAGAGGGAGAGGCGCAGAGGTATCTGGGCGTTCAGGTAACGCTGGGGGACGCAACATCTTCTCAGGAGTTGATCCTACAAGAGAAAGTGTCGGCTCGAATCAGAATTTGGGGGAAAGCACTGCACCTATCCCTGGTAGGCAGGGCCTTAGTGATTTCGGCATCGACATTCTCCCTTCTATGGTATATGCTCAGGATGGTGAAGCTCTTTGACGCGACAATCAAAAGCATTAGAGCGGCTGCCGGGCGTTTCCTGTGGAAACCCGGAGCGGAGGAGGACCAGGGCTATATGGTAAAAGTGGCGTGGGAAACAGTGTGTACAGCCAGGGAAGACGGTGGGTTGGTCGTGACAGACCCGGGGACACAGAATGCAGTACTACTAGCTAGCTGGCTAACCAAGGTTGCAGAGATGGCTGACCCCTCGGATTGGTGTCGGCTCGCTGAGCAGATTCTCATGCAGGAATGGGGCTCGACTCGTCGTTCAGATGTCTGGGTAACATTCATGATGGAGTCTTTCATCAACTAGAGAATCAAATCTTCATTTTGGAAGAATGTAATCCAAGCCTGGAAGGAGGTTAAGCCAAACGTTAGAGAACCCCCGAGATCCAAGGAGGAAGTGAAAGCCCAACCCTTGTTTGAAAACTACTTGCTGGTGGACAACAACGGCGCCCCCTTTTCAGCAGCAACAAGACCGGGAGCATTTGGTAAGAAATGGGTGCAGAGGGCAGTGTCCACTATTGGGGACCTATGGAACGACCTAACAAACCAATGGCACTCCTCGGAGTATCTGAAGTCGAAGCTGGGCAGACTGCCAGACCAGGAGGAGAGGCTAGGGAGGCTTCTGCAAGCAACCCCTACAACTCGGATAAATCTGCTGGGTCCGGAAGGTGTAAACCCTCCTGGCACCTGGTTCCGAGGTACAGAGGAGGAGGAAGCAGGAAGGTTTTATCAGCTGCAGGAGTGGGAAGATGACGGATAGGTGGCAACTGTCACCTGAAAGAGTTCAGCAAGAGTGACCAGGAGAAGTCATTGCTGACAGCATCCCAGACGGTGGTCCGCAGAGGGTTGGGAGGACTGCAGGAAGTCAGAGTTCGCCAGATGAGTACAGGCTGCCGACGAATTCCTGTAGCTTTCAAGCTGGTAGCAGATGGCACACCTATATCCTCACTCAGAATAGACCGTAATATGTGGGGATGGGAAGTGAAGGGGGAGATGGTAAAGGATCTGTGTAATCTGAAACAGGCAATGGCACTCAAAAAGCGGAAGAAGCGAAGTCTGCTAATGGGGAAATTGATCCCCAGATGGGAGTCAGCGCAACCTTTCTTGCCAGCACCAACGGAGGAGCAACTGGTTCGTCTGTGGAAACAATTAGCGAACTTACCATCTCAGAAAATTGCTGCTCTACTATGGCTTCAATCTCATTTGGCAGTCCCCACGGCGAAATGGCTTCAGACCAGAGGCATGGGCGTGAGATTGGAATGTGATAGGTGCTCATGGCCAATAGAGACAATGACCCACATGTGGTGGGATTGCCCCAGATCGAGGAAATGGTGGCTATGGTGGTTTGCACATTGGGAAAGGATGTCAGGGAGGAAAGTGGATCAGAAAATGGCATGGGTGCTACAGGGGTTCACAGAACGAGGGGAAGCAGGCAGCAAGGGATGGGCTTATATAGCTCAGTTGACCCGGGCAATCATGATGTGGGTCATCTGGCTGGACAGGAACGGGAGAAGATTCCAGTCCCAGGAATGGTCAGAAACACAGGCGGAAAGGGCGTTCCGGAATCTATTGAAACTGGAAATTCGGGCAGATTGGAGAAGGAAGGTTCTTCAGGGGAACAGATTGGAAGGGTTGCGGTGGTTCGGGGAAACTTGGGCAGCTCCAGGGGCCCTGGCAGAGGTGAGAGGAGGCAAGCTGCTCATCTCACCGTGGTTGGATCAGTAGGTTAGATAGGTTGGGTAGGAGGCAACCAGGGTGCTCGGTTGCGGTTCACGTCAGGTCGGTCGCAGTAGACTAAGGTAACAGTAGAGCATAGTATAGGGAGGAACACGGTTCCCTCAGCCGGAATAGGCTGAGTACAGGTCGAATTGGACCTGGTAGATAGGTGTAGAGTAAGGGGGACTAGCATAGTGAGGGTAGGGTAGTACTCCGGGAATAAGGTTATATGGACAAGTTGAACATTGATAATTAGGTTCAAAGTGGAAGTTGGTACAGTAGAAGAGCTGGTCAGTGGTATTATAGGATAGGAGTTCTCATAAGCTAAACCGGCTGATGCCGGGAGTAAGGATATATGGATAAGTTGATCATTGATAATAAGGTGTAAGTGGAAGTTGGTATAGTAGAAGAGCTGGTCAGTGGCACTAAAGGATAGGTGTTCACATAAGCTAAACCGGCTGATGCTGCCGGGATAACTCCGGGTGGAATTGTGAGGGGCCCGGCCTCAACCTATGATTTTGATATAGAATGAAAATGAGATAAAAAAAAAAAAAAAAAAAAAAAAAAAAAAAAAAAAAAAAAACAGAAAGCGCGTCGCCTTAACAAAAAACAAAACAAAACGCGTCGAACAGGTCTTGCCAGCAAGTACGAGACGGCACTGCTGGACCAAGCGGCCCAGGTCGAGGTCCCACTAGAAAAGAGGATTGAATTTGACGCCTTTTGCCCAGGGGTGCAGAAAATCGCGATTGGCTTTTAAAAATAAAAATAAAAATAAAAAAAATCACGATTGAGCCGCGGCTCCGCATTTCTGCGTAAAACACATCTGCATTCAGGCTCTTTAATCCAATCCACGTGGCTAGTTGCATCCCTCCGAGCTAGCACGACGAGAAGCAGGGAACTGCTACCGGTAGCGGTACCCGCAGTAACGACAGTCGTAGGGCCTCACTCCACACGGGACAAAAATCATATCGTTGTATCTTTCCATGTACTAGAAGAAGATTCGGGACGATACAGAGAAGATTAGCATGGATAACAGGCATAAATCGAGAAGAAGATTCGCGCACGTTTTGCACATTCGAGAGTACTGGCGCCAGACCCAACCGCAGTCCTAGTTCATCGTGTGTGGCCAACAAGATGAGCAATAAGTATTAAGTACTAGTAGCCGCCCCTCGCACAGAGAGAAAATAGGAGGTCGGCAAAGGTGGAACGTGGACGAGCGGACGGGAACAGCGCAGGAGAACAAGCACACAAGCACAGAGAGAGAGAGAGAGAGAGAGAGACAGAGAGAGAGAGAGAGAGAGAAGGGAAGGAACGAACTTCAAGGAGGAGAAGAAGGAGAAGTAGAAGGAGAAGAAGGAGAAGGCGAAGAAGAAGAGGGAGGGGGAGGAGGAGGAGGAGGAGGGTGTGAGGAGCGAAATGGCATCGGATGCGGCGGAGATTGGGAAGAAGAAGCTTCAGAATCAGTTGAAAGAACTGACGGAGGCGTTTGCTCTGTTTGACACCGATCGCAGCGGAACTATAACCGTGGAGGAATTAGGCAATCTTCTGCAGTCGCTGGGTCAAGACCTGTCAGAGGAGGAGTTGTTGGACGTCGTCAAGGAGGTGGACTCCAATCAGACCGGTTCGGTGGAGTTCCGTGAGTTCGTCCGGGTGGTGGAAGGGGGCGGAAAAAGAGGAGCCGCCTTACACAAGGAACTGGCGGATGCGTTTGAAGTATACGATAAGAGCGGTGATGGACATATTACACATGACGAGCTGCAAGAGGTGCTGAAAAAGGCAGGGCAAAACCTGTCGGAAAAGCAGGTTGGCGCCGCCTTGAAAGCGGCGGACGTGGATGAGGATGGGAAAGTCAGCTACAAAGAGTTCCTCAAGCTCCTCTCGGTAACGAATGGGCAGTAAACCACGAGTAGTTTATGACCGGATGATGGCCGCCGAGGGGCCACCTGTCAGTGTCAGAGGCCAAAACGCGACGCCGACCGCCGATTTATTGTATCGACGGCGCCCCTGTGCCCCGACTTTTGTGGACCGAGTTTATTACGGATGATGGCCGCCGAGGGGCCACCTGTCGGAGGCCGAAACGCGACGCCGACCGCCGATTTATTGAATCGACTGCGCCCCTGCGTCCCCACTTTTGTGGACCAGGCGACCAAACATTTTCAGCAAGGCTGGGGCCGTGCACTGGCGGTAAAAGATGAGAATTCGATTCGATCCGTTTGAATACGATCACCGGTGCAGCCTGATGCTGTAGAAGTGATGGCTTCTGCGCGTTCCTTGCCTTTGCTTGTACTTCAAATTTTGTACTACGATCGAGAACGACCGTTCATTTCCTAAGAAGTAGCCTCTCTGGGGAGTCTCCCCTCTCTCTCCCTCTCTTTCCCTCTCTCTCTCTCTTTCTCTCTCTCTCGCTCTAGCGCGCCTATACACGCACGCTTGCACACGCACGTACAGAGGTGGAGAGATATTACAGGCAATCTACCCGCCCAAACATGCAGACGTGAAATTGCTTGCACACGCACGCATAGAGGCAGAGATAGAGGCAATCTGCCTGTCTCCTTGTTGGTGTGTTGAGAGGACAAATGAAGTTGAATGAACCCGTCTGCCGGTTTTATCGTCTATTTTGTATTGTATATGTAATATTGAATTACACCGCGTACACTCTCTCTCTCTCTCTCTCTCTCTCTCTCTCTCTCTCTCTCTCTCTCTCTCTCTCTCTCTCTCTGTCTCTATGTCTCTCTGCCGCCCCCTCTTTTCCTCACTTTCGCGTTTTCTCATATGTGACGACCGGATGAGCGTTCTTTTTTTTTTTTTTTTTTTTTTTTGGGTGTAATCTAAAGAGAGCACGAGCGTGTTAGCCCTCGTGAGCCATGTCTTGGGGATCGAACTGCGTCCTGCGTTGTGCAAAGGTATGAGCACTTTTGCGTGAGGCTTGGTTCCCCGACCTGGCCCTTTTTTGTTTTTTCCAAAATTTAGGCTAATCTGGGCTATTCGACGGTAAGTGAGGCTCGTTGTTTTCCCGACCTGGCGCTCCTTTTTTTTTTTTTTTTTTTTTTCCCATGGGGGTCCTGTTGCATTCCAGCCCTCGCGGGCATTTGTTTGGCGTGTATTCAACATTCTATGATGATTTTATTTTATTTTCGATTTCTTTTTGGGTCATCAAATTGATTTGTCAAGATCTCGTTGAGCCCCGCTTTGCTTTTTTTTTCATATGAAACACAGAAACAGAGCCCCACCTGTTTTGACGAGGAGCTTTTTTTTTTTTTTTTTTTTTTTTTTCATGTCCTTTGAAGGGGTTAAGACCCAGCCTTATCAGCACCATTCATGGATATAGGGATACGAACTCGTAATGGGCCGCTTGATACCCCATTTACCAACAATGGGGCAGTTCATCCGCTTAATATCTCATTCAGGAAGGTTAATCCCCTATATCTCTCATAGTGGGGTAGTTAATACCCTTATATAACTCATAATGGGGCAGTTAATCCCCTTACAGGGCAAGGGTAAACAATACTGTCCAAGCTCCGCTCCGTTGTCATAATGTTTGGGACGCTGGGTCCGTCTTTTTTTTTTTTTTTTTTGCCTTTCTTTGAAAAGCCCAGGTCGTTGTAGAGGCTGGATTATGGACATAGCAGGTGTAGCTCCCCACGAATACGTTGGAGTCATCACTGGTGGATGTCCAGGTCAGATCGATGCGCCTACCAACATCTTGACGACGGGTCCCCTTCCTACTTCTGGGAAAAAAAAGAAAAAGAAAAAAAGAAAAAGAGCTCATGCTTCAAGTGCGTATGGTTAACCATAGAGCTGGTTGTGCGGCTTTTGCCTCTCTCTCTCTCTCTCTCTCTCTCTCTCTCTCTCTCTCTCTCTCTCTCTCT